TTAAAGTGTCATTACTTGACTTTTGCAACCTGTAAGAGTGGTAACAAGGGAGAGTCAGTGGGTACAGGACAGGGAGAATGTACAAGGTATGAACTACATCACCCTATTGTGCCTTAGAGGGCACCCCTTAACCCAGCAAAAGCTTGTCCTATACTGGCCATTATCAGAGACCTCCCTCCAGTATAAGGAGAAAGACAGTGTACTCAGTAAAAGAGAGGTAACACAAATTGCCAAGATTGTGAATACATAATGCTGGTTATAGTGACACTGCCCTTGGTGTCAACTGGCCACTGGCTACCCAAAAAGCTTTTGTTAAAACATCATGATTATTGGTAAGCTTATCAAAGAAATCCCTAAACTGCCTGGTAGCACTATTGGGTAGATTGCTAGTATGAGCAAAGCACCCCTAACGCGTGTTTCACCTGTTTAGCTCATCAGAGGGCACCATGTTTTGTTGATCTCGTATTTTCACGAGAATGCATTAAGGTGCCAGTCTATACTCCTTCTAGTGGGCTATTTTAGCCATTACATTAAATTTTTTGTGAGTTGTTTTTTTAGTACTGTTTGTATTTTTGTCCATGGCTTATCTTGTTCTTTTTAGTCCATTAGTTGGATTTTTTAGCTTACTGATTAAATGTTACGTTTTAATTAACATAATTTTTCACTGTACTGTACTCAATTCACATCTGGTCCCAGTTGCATCAATGAATGAACCATGTTGCAGATAAATGTGCTGCCAAATAGTTTGTGGTATGGAAAGTTAATTTATTATTTTATATGTTACGGATAGGAGCTGTGCTGTGAAGTGAACTGTGATAAGCATATAACAGCTCCTGAAAATTGTGAGGGGCAGATCCTTTGTTGGCTTTCAGGATCTGCCCCTCACAATTTCTGATTGTGTCTCTTCTTGCATATGATACTTTTCCTGGTGCTGGGATCGTGACAGTAGGGCAAGCATTATAGAAATTAAGTTGTTCTGACCCCTACCTAGGAATGCGACCCAGTTATAATTTATCTCCATCCTCCAACATGTGTTGAAAGATGAGGGGTCATTTCTGCCTCTGCTTCCCATCCCATAGTTTTTTTGGTGTCCTGTTTACCTACATATCTTTTTTAATTATTATTATTCTACTGCCGACTGTGAATCAGTGGAGACATGAGAGGTGCTTGAGTCTGTCCAGAGTAATTTAGAGGTCTTGTGGATCCATACCTGTTTTGTATATTTACATTGCCCTTTCAGCATTGAAGCTCTCTGGCAGAGGAGAGGGTTTATTCATGAGATGGTCCTCATGCTCCGTCGGACTACACTAATCAGTGTACCTTGCAATAACTAATTAGAGGAATCCTATACATCATCAATCTAACCATAGGGTATATGCCAAAAAGAGCAGCCATTTTGTTTTTCACTCAAACAAATTGTTGAGTCATCTACTTAATAGTGTTGTCGTTTTCTATGTTTTTCTATAGAGCACTTATGATCTGGCCAGAGTCTGTCTTGTTCTGGTGGCTCTTATTAGCTGCACCAATTAACGAAACATTTTGGTCTAAAAGAGCAGCGTCTCCAGTATTCTCTTGCTGCTCCATTTAGTAAATTGATAGGGAAAAGGTTAATCCGACAAAAGCCAAAGGATTATACTACATGTTTCAAAGCAATAGCAATTAATATGATGTCCCAATCGTATTCCTTGGCTAATGATCTGTAATATGCACAAATATATTGCTTGAATGCATAAAAATATTTTAGCAACACAAATTTGTTTCACTTCTACCTGCCTTGGTGAAATATTGTTAGCGTTCAGCCTTGCACGATTTATTACCCTACATGAAAGGAACATTTGTAGTAATATTTTGTAATATGGTAGAAGTTTGTACTAATACAATACTATTAGTTATGACATAATAAAATATTGTGGTGGAAAAGTTATAAATTCAGAGATCAGGAAGTTTACATTGTAATTAGTTAAAGTATTTAACACATTCAGCATAAAACATTCAGCAATACATTGTCGTGATGAGAAGTAATTCTGTTTTTTTTTTTTCTTTTAGATCTTATGTTCCTGTAATATATTCTATAAATAATGTCACACTTTAAAGATAGCACTTATCTGTCTGGAGTCGGTGCCTAGTGCTGCTAAAATTCTTTTCTTTTTCAGTGGTTTCACACACAGTTACGTGATATAGAAAAACCGTCAACTTCAGTTAAGCCGAACAGAATAATGGTTTGGTTATAACACAAGATGAATGCAATTCTACAGTTCTCTCTTCCCAGGTGCTATGCTTTGTCATGGGATAGTGAAATAACAGAGGGACTGGAATCTCCTAAAACCCTGGTCACATAAAAGACCAGAGGATATTAAAGAGACAATATAGTCACCAAAACAACTGGTTTAATGAAGCAATTTCTGTGCACAGATCATGCCTCAGAAGTCTCAATGCTTAAAGGGACACTATAGTCACCAGAACACAAATACAACTTAAAGGGACACTATGGTCACCCAGACCACTTAAGCTCAATGAAGTGGTCTGGGTGCCAGGTCCCTCAGGTTTTAACCCCTTAAGGACGGAGCCAAATGTACACGTTGTGAACGAAACAAAATGTAAACAAAACTTGGCATTTGCGCTGTTGTCTGTCCAACCGTAATTCAACTCTTTCATAGTAAATACACCCACCCTTATTATATATCATTTTATTTAGGGGAAACAGGGCTTTCATTTAATATCAAATATTTAGCTATGAAACAATTTAATATGAAAGAAATGGGAGAAAATAAGATTTTTTTTATTTTTTTAGTTCTACATGACATTTTAACTGTCAATGTCATAATACTGTTTGCTTTTACTGCAATAAAATACACATATTTGTATACAGCAAAGTCTCACGTGTAAAACAGTACCCCCTATGTACAGGTTTTATGGTGTTTTGGGAAGTTACAGGGTCAAATATAGCACATTACATTTGAAATTGAAATTCGCCAGATTGGTTACGTTGCCTTTGGGACTTTATAGTAGCCCAGGAATGAAATTTACACTCACAATGGCATACCATTTGCAATAGTAGACAACGCAAGGTATTGCAAATGGGGTATATCCAGTCTTTTTTAGTAGCCATTTGGTCACAAACACTGGCCAAAGCTAGCGTTAGTATTTGTTTGTGTGAAAAATGCAAAAAACGCCAATTTTGACCAGTGTTTGTGACTAAGTGGCTACTAAAAAAGACTGGACATAACCCGTTTACAATACCTTGGGTTGTCTACTATTGCAAATGGTATGCCATCATAGGGGTAATTTTCATTCTTGGGCTATCATAGGGTCTCAAAGGCACCATAACCAATCTGGCGAATTTTAATGTGAAAAAAATGAAATGCAAGCCTTATATTTGACGCTGTAACTTTTGAAAACACCATAAAACCTGTACATGAGGGGTACTGTTGTACTCGGGAGTTTTCGCTGAACACAAATATTTGTGTTTCAAAACAGTAAAAAGTATCATAGCAATAATATCGTCCGTTTAAGTGCTGTTTGTGCATGAAAAATGCAAAAAACTTCACTTTTACTGGCGATATCATAATTGTAATACATTTTACTGTTTTGAAACACTAATATTTGTGTTCAGCGAAGTCTCCCGAGTAGAACAGTACCCCCATGTACAGGTTTTATGGTGTCTTGGAAAGTTATAGGGTTAAATATAGTGCTAGCAAATTAAATTCCCTTTACTTTCGGCATGGGTTGTCAGGCAGGTCCCGCTAATTGTAATTAATTAAAATACCTAATTATGTAAAAATATTACATAAATATATATGTAGAATTAATATATGTATATATATATATACGTATGTGAATCTATATGTGTATATATATATATATGATTTTTTTTAAATATTTTTATTTATATATAGGTATATATATAGTGATATATACGTATATATTTATGTATGTAGGTATATATATTATTTTGTTCTATGTGTATTTTGATATAAATATATATATATTAATATCACAATACAGTTAGAACGAAATAATACACATCTATATATTTTTGAATTATTTTTTTTTATTATTTTTTTAATTTTATTTTTTAACGTATTTACATATTTAATTTTTTTATATTATATATAAATATATATATAACAATAATTATATATATATTTAATCAGTATCAGTCTACGTGTAATTTGATATTTCTATATATATATATATATAATTATATATATATTAATAGTAAAATACACCTAGACAGTGTACGTGTGTGTATGTATGTGTATATATATACTTAGATCATATATATATGTATATGTATACATATATATATATATGATCTAAGTATATATATATTTTTTTTACACTTATTAATTTATTTTAATTTTATTTTCAGCCAGCAGGGGGACCACCTGTCATTATAGGCAGCCCCCCTGCTGGCAATACAGAAGCCAGCTATACCGGCCATGTGATTGTGAGGTCCTTGCAAGGACCTCACTCTCACATGGCCGGGGGGCACCGGAGGAGGAGGATCTACCGCGGGGGGGCTCCCTGGGTAAGTAAGGAAAGACCGGAGGGCGTACAATTACGCCCGGCGGCGTTTAGAGCCGCCTAAAATAGGGCGTAATTGTACGCCCTCCGTTCTTAAGGGGTTAACCCTTCACATGTAAACACAGCAGTTTCAGAGAAGGGTTAATCCAACCTCTAGTGGCTGTCTTCCTGACAGCCACTAGAGGCACATCTGCGACGCTGGATGCGAAATTCGCATCCAGCATGCAGAGCGTCCATTGGAAAGCATTGAGAAATGCTTTCCTATAGACAGCTTGAATGCGTGCGTGCGCGCGGCACTTGCCGCGCATGTGCATTCAGCTCCACTCGGGAGCTGACGTTGGCGGGGTGAGAGGTCACCAGCGCAGAGGGAGCCCGGCGCTGGATAAAGGTAAGTAGCTGATTTTAACCCCTTCAGCGCCACGGGAGGGGGACCTTGTGGGTGGGGGCACCCTCAGGGCACTATAGTGTCAGGAAAACCGCTTTGTTTTCCTGACACTATAGTGATCCTTTAATGTAGTTGTGCTGTTGAGTATGGTCAGTCCCTTCAGGCTTTTTGCCATAAACACTACCTTTATAGAGAATAGGCAGTGTTTACATTACAGCCTAGGGATACCTCCAGTGGCCACTCTTCAGATGGCTACTAGAGGTGCTTCCTGCGCCAGTGCTGAACACTGTGTAGCACTGACATTCAGTGTATCCACCCTCTGCATTGAGACACTGAATATTTATCATAGAGCTGTATTGATTCCGTCCCCTGGCCCACCTCCCTGACCAAAATCTTTAGAATTGACAATCTCAGCCAATCCAATGTTTTCCAGTGGGAAAACATTGGGATTTGCTGAGCTCATTATTTCTGATGATGTCAGTCAAGAAGGCAGAGGAGAAGGGGGAGGGTGGGGGGCTAACATGTTTTTTTTAAACATGATAGGGTCAGGAATGCATGTTTGTGTTCCTGATCCTATAGTGTTCCTTTAATTTTCTGCCAGTTAGGAGTTAAATCAATTTTTTTACAGCCACGTAGCCCTAGCCACATCTCCTCAGACTGCTTAGGTCACTTCTGAAACCATAACCACTACTGTGAGCTGTAGCACTTATGATGCATGCAGAGTTCATTTCATTTTACAAGTTTTAGCTCATAGCTAGTCAAGTGAAATTATTTTTCAAACTCGGTTATTTTTGCAACTTTAAAGCACTTTTCCCACAATTCCCTGTTGATTGAATAAACCTCTTTATAGTCCCAGTAAAGTATAGGTGAGGTAATCTTTCAAGATAGAGTTAGAGATGTTTTATTCAATTTTTTACATTTTGTAGATTGCTTTTCTTTAGTCTTCAAAATAAATCAAGTCATTAATGTGCCTCGGGTGACCCATTGGAGGGTACATTGAAGGTCTGATTTCCTCCCTCTGGGTTTTAGTTAGGCCTAGTATGAAAAAAAGAAGCTTGAAAGGGATTTAGTTTGAATGCAAAAATGAACAACTTTTAAGTGGAGTTTTTCAGAGAGAAAATAATAGTGGCCTTTTTTTAAACACATTAAATGAACACATTTTTTGCAGATTCTTTTTTCAAGATTTGTCTCTGAAATGGGAAAAGCGAGCAAAAGGTAAAGTGTGAGGTTTGTTTGGCTTTTTTTGAGTGGAACATTTCACAAGAATGTTATCTATTGTACTATATAGTTTGATTTTCTTAATAAAATGCAGCAATATGGAAATAAGATTAAAAGCACTTTTGAATCCCTTCAGATTCCATCAATACATAGATAGCAAACATACAGAAATGTTGTTATTGTTTGTTTTTTTTACTTGACCACTAGAAATTGAAGTGAACAAGTGCACTCACAGTTAACCAGCCCCAAGTTATGCTCACACTATACATTTTGGAATGACATGTGCAACTGTGTGTGAAGCCTTTTGCTATACCCCTCAAGTATGCCTATTTTGGAGTGCCTGTCCCTATTTTGGGCCAAAATCCATCTGTCCCTCTTTTCCATCCTAATGCCCTTCTTTTTTCAGGCGCTACATATTGTTGGCATGTTTGAGTACATAACAGCAATAATACTAACAGTAATGTGTCTTTAAACTATGATACATGTATTTAGAAATATTAAATTAGATACCCCCACCCCCCCATTTCAATGCATTATATCGACATACATGTATAAGAGACCTCTGCTAAAAAAAAATCCTTTTAATTGTGAATTGTGAATTGCCCAGCCACTATTTTTGTCTTGAGACAAAAATATGAGATATATATGAGCTATGTAGTTTAGCAATTGCCCAATAGTACCATTCATACTGTTCTTTGTTTCTTTTTTTCCATAAACAGAGAAACTTCCGTCACCTTGCTTTAGTATTTCCTCAACCCTTCACTGTTTTGTGTGTCCCATTTTCTTCCTCAGTACAGACTCTGCCTTTACCCTCCAGTTGTATGTATCTCCATCCATTTTGTGAGTCTTTCCACTAGTCCTGTGCCTCTATTTATCAACCACTTCCTGTGACTCCCTTTCCCATCAAACCTCTCTTTTCTCTCCCTCTCCATTCCATTGTATCACAACTGCACTCTCAGCAAGAAACATTAATTTATCCTGTGGACAGTCTGATCACTTAAGTTCTAAAGCATGGCAGCAGTATTTGAAGATAAGACTTTACCACCACCTGCACACACTGCTGTTCAGGAGATGATGCAGCTTTGGGGGTAGACCTAACTGGTTGCCACATCCATTACTTATGGTGACATAGTTGGCGACATCAGAAGTACTAATTTGTGGCCCGGGCCTTTGGTAAGACTCACTTTTATGCTATAATATTGTGAATATTTTACCAGCACAATGTTTAGGTTAAGGGTAGGCAAGCTTTGACACTTCAGATGTTGTGGACTACATCTCCCAAAATGCTTTTACAGCCATCATGTTGGCAAAGCATCAAGGGAGATGTAATCTACAATATCTGGAGTGGTTGAATGTTATATAAATGTTATATAGTCATTCCCATGGTTTGTGTATAAAAGTGTCTCTTTAAGAAATGCAGAATTGTATAGGGATGTACACTTAAATGTAGGTTGTGTCTCAGAATGTTTCTGCCTCATTTGTGATATTAGTATTTTTCAGTAGCATGCACACTCTTTCTATTAGATGCTTTATAGAAAAAAAACAGCTGACTCCAAAGATGTGGTGCTATTTTTGAATTCTACAGCCATCAAGGAATATTTCCACATTCTTGTAGAATTTTGTAAAAAAAAAAAAAAAACTAATTGCATGCAATAAGCCTGTATTTTCCATACATACTTAACTTTTGCCCTTGCATGACATTAATAATTATCATCATGAACCTTTTATGATAGTAAGTCAATATTAAAATCTATAATGATATAATTTACAAAATCATCTCATCAATGGGAGCTGGAACAGTCTCTGTGGTCGTCAGCATAGAGGATGAAGACTATATAAGAGATCCTTGTCTAAGTGCTTACAGCCAAATACTCAAGACAAAGCCTTTCCAGTCAACATCTTCACATGCTCGTGGCTGCAGGTATTGTTGTTGGAGGTGCAAGAAGTTCTGATGCTGTTGTATATAGAGATACTGGGAGATTGGTGTCAGGATAGGTTGTTACCCAGCAGGAGGAATAGTCACACAGGACAAGGAAAAATGGACAGATATGTATTAGCGGACCTTAGAGTGGCCGGTACAAAGTACAAAGAATAAGCTATGTCAAGACACAAGAAAAATGTCAAGGAAAATAGAGGTACACAGAATTGAAAAAACAAGCCAATGGTCAGAAATAGGCAAATCAGAATGGCCGAGACAAGCAGGTATCAACAAAGCAGGAATAAAGCAATAAACATGCTCTCGGATAGCCAAAAAGGAAACAACAGGACACTGAACAGATGTAAAGTTCAAGTATTTGTAGGCTTGGGGCATTTCTTTGATAGTCACAAAACCGAAACATGAGTCGGCAATTGTGAGTCAATGATGTCAGTAGGTGGGAGTGGACAAGTGATGTCATTCAAAGGGTGGAGCTACATCATCTGGCATCAGAAGTGTTTGCAAAGGTATCTGAGGGAGTGAAACTAATATGGTGCCTAATTGGGGAGATAGGGGCACAAGGTGAGAGCTGTAGCTCAAGAGTATGTATCCTTACAGTTAGTGACACTGGAGAAAACCAGTTTTAGTTGGTGGTGGTGGCATATAGGCATATGGGTTTTATACTTCCAAGGCCTGCAAAGGATATTGAGGTTGCTCATGTCCCTTTGCAAGTTGTGGCATTACTTACCTCCACCGAGCCGTGCTGACCCCCTCCTTCCTCGATCTTAGTCAACCTCCTTCTGCCACACAGTCTGACTGAACTATGCTCCAGGACATCTATATGTAGATGTGGACATTACATCACACCCACTCTTAAAGTGACCACGTCATCATTGAGATCCTAATCTGTTTGCATCGCAGTGAGGACGTGCACCTATCAGAATGTAGGTAAGCCTATTTAAGGCTCTTGTGATTTCCTGTATTTGACCCCGGCTTAGTACTTGACTCGTGATTTCTGGTATCCTGACCCTGGCTTCGTATTTGACTCGTGATTTCTGGTATCCTTACGCCGGCTTGGTCTTGACTCTGAGTATTTCGGTTATTCCTGTCCTTGCATTATTCTTTACCCTGAATCTTGTTGTTTGTTACGTTACGTTTTAAGGCTCGGTAGTACGTCTTTCAGATCCACCTTTTGTGGTTTCCTCTTTCTTGCGTGTTGGGTTATGACTCCCGTGACATTACGATAGGCCAAATTGACCCTGCATGAATGGGAGTTCCACAGAATCCTTGCCAGGCTAAATTTGAAGAGATGGACCAATTCACTCATGCCTTCCAGACCTTGTCAGCCAGAACAGCCCACCTCTCTCCTGAGAACCTTCCAACTATGTCTACTCAGCCTGTGCCCGTGGTGATTGAAGTGACTGGTCAGAACAGTCACTTGGTGACACCACCTCCTAGATATGGTGGTGATCCTACCTTTACCCATACCCAATAAACCCTGGTCCAACTTTATTGTAGAACTACCTGCTTCCAGTGGTCTTATTGTCAAGCCACTGTGATCCTTGTCAGCAGGTAGCACGGTCCTCTAGGGCAAAAACATGCACAGTCTTTTAATGCAACTTCATTCCAGGCATTTTATTTGTAAGTTTACATATGAGGCAGCAGCAAATGAAAACATAAATATAACAGGTTTCCCTTTAAACAAAAACCTAGCTCGTCTGAGCACTGACTCACTTTGAATAACCCTCTCTATCAGGGTTAAACTAACGAAACATACTGCACCAACCTTATTAGATAGCAACACTCTGCTAGCTAGCCTGTTGCTTTTCTTTCTCCACTCCCAGTGCTCCAAGCCAGCCTTGCCCTGACTGCTTTCCTTTCTGCACTCCCAGTGCTCCAAGCCAGCCTTGACTGCTTCCTTTCTGCACTCCCAGTGCCTAGTCTCCTTGACTCTCTATCTAGAGAGAACAGCCTCTCTCCTACCTGCTTCCTCGGAGGAAGCCAGCAATCCCTCTCCTTTTCCTGCCTAGCCGGGAGGGGTTTATTCCCACTGCAACAGCTCATTAACTGCAGCTGAGCAGTGGGTTGGAGACGGTCCAAAAAACCCTGGCCTGGATCTATGTCTCCCCAGAAAACCACTAAACTGTGGAGTGGAGCATTGGCCCACCCTTCTCTCCAAA